GAGCCAGGTGAAGACTCTAGCAGAGAACAGAACGCAATGGAGACGCACGGCTGAAGCCCTATGTTCCTGTAGCAATTAAAGGATACAATAATACTAATCACTATTTAATGCTGATATATTTATCAAAGTATTATTCCTTCGACAACAGCGTTCACTACTGGAGTGGTGTCTACCGTGTACCGGTTGTAGAATAGTCTTCGGATTAGCAGGATGAGAGGTTCCTGCAGAAATCCCAAGGATACAACACGGTTAGTAGTGAAACAAATAGACAGTATGTACCAGTGAGAAGACGAAGTGGCCAGCAGCACATTGTATTTTTTAGATTGTACTCCGCATTTCAACATGAATCGTTTTAAACAAAAGTTGTGTACAATGTTTATATTTTTAACACCTAACATCTACAGTTTTGATTATTTATCACGTTTTAGAAACATTTTGATGACGCAAACAGTAATCCTAACAAAATTTTATTTTATTTTTGTCTGACAATCCTAACTTACAAACACGCACACACACAAAATAATCATATATAAATGCGATTGTATAGCTAAGTGAGTGAATTTGCGGGAAAAAGAAACGCTTCACTGAAATTTGTTATTCATCTTTTCATGTCTGGATGGGTATTTTCAGTGGATGATATTGATGTGGTTGTTATCTCTCAGCTGGATAGTCAATTTGCAAAGCTTTCATCACCCTACTAGGTGACATCTTCAGCGCATACTTCAATTTGAATTGAAGTGAGCTTTTAGATTTCTCCACGAGTTCATCAGTCATCTCTCCTGGTGACCTTGAGCGTGATTGGTTGTTCTTGTGTGTTTTCACACTCTCTAGACTACTTGTATTGGGACTGATTGTTTCCTTGACTTGAGCTTTGATCCTTTGTGTGTGGGGTTTCCTTTTTATCAGTTGGTAAATTTTGTCTTTCTCAATGTGTCGATTGATTGACGATTCACTGGAATACCAGGCAGGCTTCTAAAAAATTCGCTAGCATTCTTGATGTTTCTTCTGTCTAATATTTGAACGCTGGTTGTCCCAGTCGATTGGATATCCGTGGTTGTCTTTATTTAGTGATATGAGGGAGTCGATTTCATGTTTTCTGATGGCTAGTTCATGTTCATGGATACGAAGACAAAGGGGATGTCCACTTTGGCCAATGTAGTGTTTTCGCAGTTGTTACAATTTATTTTGTAGATGATGTTGGTTTTATCTTTTTTCGTTGTTGAATCCTTTGGTTGACATAGAAGTGAGTGAAGTGATTTTGTTGGTGTTTGTGTGCAACATCCATTCCTAAAGGTTTGAAGAGTCTGGCAGGGATTTCTGAGATGTCCTTTATATATGATAAGGCGATTTTCTTTGTGCTTTCCTTGAGGGCGTCGGTGGCACGGTGGTTAGGACTCTCGCCGACCATGCACATGGTCCGGGGTTCGATCCCTTGCCGGCGCACACCCAATATCTATGGTCGGCCTGAATTTGGGCTACCGATATCCATGCTGAAAATTCCACACTTGTACTGAAAATGCGGTGTGGAATCAAGCTGTAAATCAATTTAAAAAAAATAAATAATTTGATAGGTTGGCTTCGAGAAATATGTCTTTTGATGAAATTCCGTGGATATGCCTTCTTTTGGAAGACGTCCATGAGATATCTTTCTTCAATTTCCTTTGAGGTAGATAGGAGTGTTGCAATGAGTACAAAAGTGGGATTTTGCTCTCAGATTTCTCTTCTCTTGTGAATTTGATGTCGTCGAAGACATTGTTTATTAAGTTGTCAGTTTTGCCCTACTAGTTTTTTTAGATTATTACAAGGAGACGTCTAAAAGCTCACTTCATTAAATCGAAGTATGCTCTGAAGATGTTGCCTGGTAGGGCAATGAAAGCTTCGGAAATATTGAGTGATTACATGCAAGTGAATGCATCACAACGTTCGAGCTTTCATCTGGATTATTTAAATTATCAGAGCCATAGCAATTCGCTCAAATCACCTCCGATTACAGAAACAAGTAGAAACACCCACTATTGGTACCCTAACCTGCTATCGAGCCTGTAGATTCATAAATCCTGTGTTGCTTCCCTTAATTTATTTGATATTCAGTTAGTTAAGTGTTTTATTAATGCATATGATCCCTTGAAGATATTTTTGAGTTGTAATCTATGGATATTACCGATTCAATGTAATGTTGTTAATGAGAACGTTTCATTATTTCAGACGAAAACGTGGCCTACAACAACTAGCCAGCTCACATGGTCCCACTATCATTGACGGCATAGAGGTTGAAACTACATCTAATGTCAAGTACCTTGGACTGAGTATTTCCTCCTATCTTTCCTGGTCCTCTCACACCTTGCTAGTGACTAGAAAGATGTTTCGCTTAACGTTCTACGTTAGGAAGTGAGGGCAGTCTGGTATGAAGCAGTCTCTGCTTTCTCAGTTTGTCAACTCTTGTATTCTAACCATCCCTCTTTACTGCTCCCCATTAATCTTTCCTGGATTACTTAAGAAAGATTTTGCTTTGCTGCGTAGGGCACTAAAAACTGTTAGTAGGGGAAGTGGGGTATCGTTTAACCAACTGGTTAACACTATTGTGGATAGACATATAATGTCATGTAAGAAACTAGCGAATACTATATTGTCAGACCCCGAACACCCTCTCTGTACGCAGCTCTCTCTTTGCATTTCATCTGGTAGAACTAGAAGCAACTATAGGAGGCTATATGCCAGGACTACCAAGTACAAAATCTCCACAATACCTTATCTGGCACAGCTGTTATGTGATGAGAAAACTGTTAGGCATGACACGATCACCTTACTGCAGCACTCTAACAAATAGTTCCCATTAGCTTTTGTTTTCCTTTCTTTGTTACTATTATATTGTTGCTCACATATTCTATTACACACTAATTTTATATTTCATATCCTGTGGTGCATTGTTTAAATATGTGAATGCAATGCTGTTCTTTTTTTATTTCTTTTATTTCTCTTTTTTTCTTTTGTTGTTGTTGCTTTTTATTTTTAAATTCTTATAAAATTAATGAGGTAATTAGATGCAATATTGTAATGCACGCTGAAAATTCCATACCTGTACCACAAATACTGTTTGGAATAAAGATATTATTAATATATTATTAATTGCTATTATAATCTTCTTATGTTCCAAGTGGAACATAGGGCTTCAACAACACATCTCCACTTTGTTCTATTTTCTGCCAACGACCAATTCTTCGCTTCCCATTTGGATTCCACTCAAGCAATGGCCTGCAGTGAGTGCGGTGTTATTCAATGGCCTCCCCAACGTATGCCCGATCCATCTCCAGTATACTGGTGGCTGGTTTGTTCCCAGCCAAAGTTTCTTGGTACTAAATTCTTTCTGGTCATTTGATCTTCAGGAAAGGCAGCTGCGGATAAAAGTCTTCAACTTTCTGGAAATCCTTTACTAGACACGCCTACCAAGTTTCTCACCCGTATGAAAGAACTGACTGACTCCATATTCGAATCTTGTTCTTTACGCTCGCTGAGTGCAGAATGCCCCACTGATATCATAGTCATGAAGGCATCTTCATCTATTGTGCCTGTAGTTGAAACGATGCTTCCTAGATAAATGTGAGTGGCGTTAGATACTTTTGACCTTCCTTCCTTTTAAGTTGAATCTTGCTGTCATGATCCTGCAGAATGAAATTAGTTCCCACTGCATTAGGTCTCTGACTGCCACTGGCGAAATCATGATGGCCACTAACACTCTCAGTGTGCTGGTGGTTGTTTCTGGGTGACTGGAGTAGATTATTGACTCTACATTTGGTAATTTTGGTAATCCACATCCATTCCATCTGCTCTGGCAGATATCCAGCACGTCTCTGCCATATCTTATCATTTCGTTGTCTCCCTGAGCACCCTTTTCAGTCTCGTACATTGTGTAAATATTCCATGTCCTCATTCTTATTCTTGCTTTCATGGAGAGAAGACACATCGACTGGTTGACTGGAGGCCACCTTTCTCCGAATCCAGCAAAGAATTTGTTTAATTTTTACATTTTTTTAAATTTCTAATATTTTCTATGATTGCTTTTGTAAGGGTTAGATTTATTTCTTACGAGTCGATCACGGATTTATATCAGTTAGAGAACCATTGAAAACCAGCAGGGAGTACTTGACAGCTGTTGGGGTCGCGCTAAATCACGAACTGGTAGAAGTTAAAATTCATGGACTGGCCATTGAATCGGGTCCCAATGGCTGAATGGTCCACGAGCTTGCCTTGTAACCGGAAGGTTCTGGGTGTGTAATGCCGATGATTCTCGAACTAGGATGAAACAGCAGCTGTCCAGTACTCCCTGACTGGTTTTCAATGGTTCGCTAACTGATATTTCTAATATGTTTATTCTGCGTTTCTGTAGCAGTTTGATAGCTTTTGTGGCATAGGGGCACTGGCCTCATGCCCAACCCACCCCGCTTACCAGGACTTGGGACTGGTTAGAGAAATAGCTAGCTAGGTAACTAGGCGAGGTTAATTATTACTGCCATATAAATGTAGAACCTGATGATGAATTTATTGATTCAATTAATCAACCTTTTAAATTAAAACTGCCTTTTAGGCAACGTTGTCATATTTGTCATTCAATTAAATAAAACAAACACTCTCATTTAGGCGCAATTTTTAAATATGTATATATATACATATATTTCCATACTCCATTTTCATTTCAATTGGATAGGAGTATTACGGAAATGAAGGAAAAATTACAGGGAATCAATAATTTGAATGTTAGCCTGTTTAATCAATAGAAACTAGGAATAATATTTTCCAGTTAGTAGTAAACAGGCTGGTTAGATATACGCTATATCTGCGTGTATACGTTTCATTTCTAGCCCTGTTTCTTTAGCAATGCGTATTGATTAGTTAATCGTCATAATAAAAAAAATAATAATAAACGATACCCATGATAAAATCCACCAATCAGAGGTGTTAGAAAGTTTTGACCAATCAAAATTTGAGATGTTGAAAATTATCATTGACTCTTGAACAGGGATAATTTTTGCAATATTGTGGTGGTAACTTGAGTTGAAAAGTTGGGGAAATATAGTTTTAAAATTAATTTTAACATTGGTTTATTCATAAGTCTACAAAAGACACAAAAAGGCGGTAAGTTCAAGATTTGAAAACTTGTATGAAATTTGCTCACTTTTTGCTCAATGGTTTCAATACATTTACTAGTATGATAAATTCTTTTTGGTATATGATATTATAACTAATACTTTTATTACACTGCTATGTGAGTAGCAGTAGAAGTACAGCAGTATTGAAAGTAAGCACACACGCTCATTCCTATAGAACTGTATTTACCACATAAACGATCATTTCGAATAAATTCGCAAATTACAGTTTTCGCAGTTCTAGGGATGGGGGAAATTTCACCACTTCGAACTAACTGGCAAACACTGCTGGTTGATCAGTCAATTAATAAAAAATAGGTCTTTGGAGTTGAGGTCATGCTGACTGTCTAAAGTTGAGATGCGTCCATCACACCACTCGGGGTCGATCCCAGGACCTTCATTTCACAAGTTGAGTTCAGTGAACACTCAGGTTCCAGGGTAAAATGCTATAGTCCATCCAACTTTCGGCAATTCGCAGTTTTTAACACGGCTACCATTAACTAGTGTTACTGGCGAGTATTTGTCTTCAACAGCCGACCTTGTGGACTCCACTGATCATGAGTTTTCAGGTAAGCCTGTCCTGAAGTTGATCACCAGTGAGCATCAGGTTAATTTTAAAGTGTTAGTTTATTAGGGCTCATTCCTGATGCGGTATGGGTTTGCCTAACTGAAAAGTCTCAAACAAGGACGAAATAGCTCCAGGTGCTTCATACCTTTTAATGTTTCCGTTCAAGAAAACAAACTGAGATTCGCCTGTCTGTTCTCGAACAACTATGTCAATATGAACCCGCATTATCTGTCCTGCAGAGATGTGATTTGTTGACCTTAGTGAAAAGCAACGATGACAAACTCCCGGATTATATCGCTATTTGTTGAATGGTAACTGGCAAAGAAGTCCAGGATGTGCACTTCGTCCAATTCAGGACCCGTCATCTGGGCAGTGCTGCATCCCTGTTGCTGCTGTTCCCTCCAAGACTCGAACCACAGCACCCACTGTTTCGAACATCAAAAGGTTGCCCACTAGGTCACTTGAACAGAGGAAATCACTTTGTGTGGAAAGGGTAGCAATTATTATTTGTCCTAAAATTGGTTTTTTTTATTTCCAATCCACCGAATGATAGCATATTCATCCTCAGACATAGTCAAGACGTCCGTAGAATCAGCCAAAAGGGGAGTAAACAATAAAATTGAAAAGAATGTTTGGATTTTATATTGTTTTACTGCATAATAGTTTGAAGATATAAGCTATATAATGCAACCTACCACATCCCACCAAGTTTGTGAGCCATTTAACAAATCGAGATGGACTTACATCAGATAAAATATGGTGTAAGGTGTGCTGAGTAATATTCGGGCTGTACAGATAACTAGACGGCGTTTCATTATGGGTAAAATTTATTTTTGATAAATTCTGACAGTGTTATACAGTAATCTTTACTGATGACCACCTTTCGAGCACAAACTATTGCCACTTATAATCATATCAAGTCACTCACACAACTTTCTAATTTCGTTTATATAATTCCATTATTTCCCATCGCTTGATTTGATTGGTAGTAGTATTTTCCATATTTCGGGTATGAGTGATGATTCATTCCTATTTTTGGGTGTAGATTCGATGGACAAAGATTCAGTAATCAACCTCTCTCTCCACCTACCTAGATTACTTTTTAGAATTTTAACCCTCTCCCACCCTATTGTGTGGTTGTATGTTAATGCATGCATTGCAATTGCTGAGCTTTTTTCTAAATTACTTATCTTCATTCACACTGTCAACTATTCTTACCTTAGCTAAATTCTTATGTTCTGACAATCTGACTATTCCCGACCTACTAGTGTGACCTATGCAGTTGACCTCACTCACAGTCATAGCAAGGTATTTTGTAAATTACATTATTTTGTCTAGTTGGGTCAACCTACAGGGTCCTTTAGCCTACAGAGCTTGTCCTATCTGAGTGAGTTTGTAGGTTTAAATGCCACCACTCTAATTCCTGCTTTATTAAGAACCCTATGTATAACACTGTGAGTGTTTATCAAAATAAATTTTACCCACAATGCAATTATACTCTACCATCACAGTGCACAAGTTTTATTCTTAGATGGCGTTTCGCTGATTTTGTTCCTCACTGAATAGGTAATCTTCCGTTGTCTGCAGTATTCATCAGTACCAGTAGCTTTGATATAGAGTACAACTCTTTCTACACGTCTGTGACTATCACACTTTAATGCAGGTACAGTGAGCTGGGGTATTTATCACTGCAAGTTATCACAAACATTGTTTGCAGTTTCGAATAAGTTCACTGGTCACTAAAGAGACTCATAGCAGCAATATGCAGCTAGAATGTCCTATGCAATCCTAAGTGTTAATTTGGGGTATGATGTGTGTGTAACGGTCGAAGTTAGGAGCCTTGGCGAGGGATTGTTTATTTGAAATTTGGTGTCTGTATATAGCGAAATTATATGCACCTTTCCTTTAGTGCACCGTCTGCACAGGTCTTCCGTTTTGTACTACTTCTGGTCTTCATAATGTATTTCTCTGTATTCCTTTAACTGTATCATTTGTGCGTCGGTGGCACAGTGGTTAGCACGCTCGCCGACCATGCACATGGTCCGGCGTTCGATCCCTGGCAGACGCACGCCCGATATCCATGGTTGGCCTGATAAATTTGGGCTACTGATATCACATGCTGAAAATTCCATGCTTGTATCAAAAATTAAAAATTAAATTAAATCTACAGAACTAGACTACATTGACTTCTATCTTAGAAAAAGGGAGTGAAGTGGTTGGTGGAGTATGTTGACCACTTCACTTATTTGGGAAGTTGCATTAGACAATGCCAACAGGTTGATGGCTGACGAAACCTCAGCAGAGATACAGAAGGCTAGTTTCTCATATACCAGTTTAAGCCGTCTCTGGCGTAGACTTGATATCCTGCTGGCTGTCGACCAAAATGCGTGTGTACGACTCAGCAGTCCGCTCCGTCCTCCTTTATGGCTGTGAGCGAGATTTGGCCACTGAAAGTGGAAGACATCAGAGGCTAGCCAGCTGTCTTTGATCATAAGTGCCTGAGTTTTATTTCCCGTGTTAAGTGGTATAATAGAGTAAGCAATATTGAGGTTATGTGTTGAGTGCCAGCTAGGTAAGAAAGGGAAATCAATAGAGGATGCTTTGAAGTTGCATCGACTGAGATGGTTAGGACATGTATTGCGCATGCATTCCTAGCCGTCACCTTCCTCGAGTGACAGCCAATGTTAGCTGACATAAGGTCAGGTTGGGAAAGAACTAGCAAATGGTGGTCAAACCAAAACGTGGCCTCATCAGTCAGTCAAATCCACAACAGTTTGTTTAAACCAGCCACGTAGGAAGGTGTAAACTTCCTGACTGGTTAGGGTCCTCGGGGCGGTAAAAACCAATGAAGGCTAGAGACAATTGGTGAAATGGCTCAAAGCCATCGTTCTCAATGGCTGGCGCAAATGCATCCACTGTTTATGACTTATAATATCCAATAAAAATATATTGTTCTTCAATTTTATCATTCTTTTTGCCTCATTTCTCTGTTTACTGGCTCTATTTTGCACTTCCTTTTACTTTATGCTATCGCTTTGTGTGCTACATGGAGGGTGTGTGGCAACTCGAACTACTGCACATCGGTGCAAAGGTCTATGTTGAAAACAGTTTTTTATGGCGATGAACGCTCTTTATATACTACTGACTATTTCTATTAGTAGCACACTCCGCATGTGTACTACGTTATCCCTACACATGGGATGTCCTCTTTGATATTGAATATTTCAGGATACGCTACCCTGGACACACTCAACAGACAGCAGTAGTAGTCTTTTTTCTACTTGATGCTTATTTGTTAGAAACCAACCAACCAATAGGGATTCAGGAACGTCATATTTGGTTGATGGTGGCCAGCAGTGGGGGCCAGGTAGCGCATTTTATCGTATCTAGGATACATCACTGAAATGTACCTGAATTACTAGTGAGTCAATTTGTTAACACTGACACTCGAAAATACATACTCATGTTTATAGGCACATTGACTAAACTGAACATATAATCTGGTTCGATAGTAAGACGTCGGACAGATAACAGCTGAAAGTAGATAAGCATTGCATAGTAAACTAAATTACCAAAATGAGTGTATATGTGACAACAGAAGACAAGGGCCAGACAACAGATCGTTTATTGAGAAAATGAAGAGATATTTATAGATTTTGATGTACATTATTATTAGCGTCATCGTTAGCGGAGAAGCAAAGTCTTCTGATTGGTTATTTTCTTGCCGAAGGTTATTACGTACTGCTTGTGACCATTTCTTAGAAAGTTAAGCCATATATCTGCAAATCGTATTTGCACAAGTTAAGTTTGCTGTGATTGGTCGGTGAGTTCCTCAAGGTCAAGCTTTGCTATTGTTTTTTCTCATGACCCCGATTCGGGAAGTAATTATTGACGTAAATTGTTGCCTACAATATTGGCTTGTAGACAGCTCTCACCACATGTTTGCTTAGATTGAATATTCAGTTACTCCAATGATAAATATGAAATGTATCTCTGATAGCCATGAGTATGATGCATAGGTTTCCTGACTGGCTGACAGTATAAAGCGTAGTGATTGGCTAATCGAACACATGGGACTGGCAGCGAATTAAATTTTCGGTAGATTTAGTTTCAGGGATTTCCCACTGGTGTGGAAAAAGGCCTCACACGCCAACAGTCGTTATTATGATTACACTGTTATAATAGCCTCATTAGCCAACGTTTTTTGTCGTACCCCTGACTTCCAGCACATATAATCGTCTGCTAAAAATACTAAACTGAAGTCCTTATTCTCAGTTTCTCCTTATTTGAATCTTCAAGTTCTGGGTGTGTAGATAGAAGAATAAATAGACTACAACGCACACGGTGAGCAACAAACATGAACAAGGTCGATTTTGTAAGGGATCCCTTGAATGGCACAGAACTCTTAACAGTTGTTTCAT